GTTAGGTGTTGAGGCTGAAAAACGCGACACTTATTTAACTGGACTTCATCTGCAACCTCACGTAGGATTCGATGGCTAGGCGTGTAGCTACTTGTAGTAAGCTCTTTAATCCACTTTAAAAGTGTCTTTTCTTCAACGGCACCATCATACTGGCGACCCCCGTGGTTAGAAACGACAATGCCTGGACGCCTGCCTTGACTGCTAGCTCAGCATCCTCTATCGATTGAATGCCTAAGAACGATAAGAGTCAGTATGACTCCATCAAAGGCTGTTATAATTAATATATGAAACAGCAAGGCAAACCTTTTAGGACAATAGGGCCATCCCAATGTTCCTTTAAGAACTTAATATCTTCCCACGTGTGGCTGTGGCCCGAGAATACTGTCTTTTCCCATCCCATACAGGCATTCTGGAAATCATCCTGGATAGATTTTCCCTTGCCTGGGCCGTCTTTCCATTTTTTCTGAAAGACTGGATCTGAAAGGCAAATAGCGTCGCCAATTCCAAGGTAAAAAGGAACGGATGCGTTATCTAGGTCTTTTGGCCGCCAGCTGAGAGCCCAGAGATTAAGCGTGACCACGAGTGTTGTAAATCCGGCACTTTTTGCTCGTGAGAGCATAGAGATCGTGATTTCATTGTCTTTCATTAGGGGGCCAGTACGGCTGGAACCAGCGGGACCCCGAGCGGGACCCCGATCCCGATGTCTCCGCGATTTCCTCTGGCGTGGTCGAGGACCCAGTTGACATAATGTACGGCACCGAGCAATTGGCAGCTGCCCGTGCGACTGCACATTCTCCCTCGCTAGTATCAGTCGTTAGCCTTGGATAATCCTCTTGGATATGGAATTTTGGGGTTCGCTACTGGTGGAACTGTATCACGCAAATTAGAATTCTGTATCAACCTCAAGAAACCTAACTTACAATCTTGTTCACGCCCACCGGAGCAACCAGTACAAGGCTAGGATATTTGGACCCAAAGAGCTCAACAGAAAGATCACGGATCGTGTTATCTTGGAGCATGCGGGGGATAATCGACCATTTTCGGAAAGCTGCTCTATTGGCATCCATGGTCTCTCCTGCACCAGCAGCTCCCGCGATATACCCATAACTACTCGCAGGCAAGGCTTCTTTGGCGGCTTCTTCCCATTTGCGAGGGTTTGTAGTTAAGATTAGCCTATTACCTTTGAGCCCGTCAAGATATATCTTTGTTGATAACTACCATAGTTTGGCTGAGAACTGTGTGACTCGTGATGAGGCATGATTGTTACTGTTCTACAGACCTGTAGCGATGTGCCCCCGAACGAAGGAATATACGACTGTGTTAACTGGGAGATGAAGGTTATGCTAGCACACGCAAAGTGAAAGATGAAATGTGAGAATAATTATATCTGCTTTTATTAAGCTCGTCGATGAACTTGGTGGAAAGTCATGATAGTCTGTGTCCCACGCATTTCATTTCTACTCAACGTTAATGCTAACACGACGCCCTGGCTGTAAAAGCTGAGAAACGTAGTGCTTGTGAAAGGTGGCCCCGCCTAGTCTCGCACCCTTGGTGAATCATATTTTTATATTCGGTATCAAAGTAAATATTTCATGCCGTCGCAGTATTACTTACCTAGATGGGTTTGTTCCGGTTGCTGGGGTGAACCACGTCTGTAATCCGTAGAATGGCTCTGCGACCCTAACAAGGGTCGACAGTTCAAGGAACGGCTCTGCCTTAACTGCAATAAACTAGGCCATTTGACTAGAGACCGGAAGCAGTTTTAAAAATAAAACGGCAGACAAAAGTTTGTTAACTAATTTATGATGGAATCACTATGTATACATAGATTATTACTAAGACCGACGTTCCAACTTCCTCTCCTCCCTCTAAACGCCTTCGCTCAGTAAAAAACCCAGGCAAGTTATTGCGTTACCCATATACACACACACCACCAACTTCATGATAACCGTTGCTTCAAATACGACATATATTTAACCCCTTTTCAGTACAACCCCCCCAACTGCGCCCCTACCCCAACTTGAGTATCATTTCATCCGCCAACCGTCAAGAAAGTAAATTCTGGAGTGAAGGACTGGCACTCGCGCCACCGTTCACCCGACGACTAGGAGCATTGTTCCCATTGTGATTTATAGGTTCACGACTGATTTGAGGGCCATCCCGACGTGCCTGCGGGCTCTCATGGGGCCCGCCAAACGCTTGACGATACGGCGAGTGAGTTCCATGTGGGAATGAAATTTCCAAAGCTCGTGGGGGAGGACCTCCGTTGGTTAAGTGTTGCGGGGGTGACGGTGCGTACGGCGCGTACACGCCATGCTGTATCGGATGAATACCAGCGGCAGATTTATGTGGCGATGAGGGATAGCTGCTATTTGCTACTAAAGGCAATGATCCGTTTACATGTGGTGATCGTGGAATTATCGCGCCTGGTTGACGTGCCTGTGTCTGACCGGGTAGGTGCTGGCTGATTATCGGAGGCCCTCTCGGCGAGTGAGAGCCGTTACTGTACTGCCTTAGGGCGATATTTGAATTCTGAGAGGCCGGGGATGCGCGGGACCAGTCCCCGTAACCGCTCGTTGGTGGATATGCCGAATGGCCCCACGGATAGCGAGATCCCGAGTGCATATGGGTTGGTGGCACAGGAGGGCTCGCTAGCGTTGACGAGGCAGACACAGGTATAGAAGGCGGTAGGCGTGGCTGGGGTGCATCGTTATCCACCTTTGGAGCTGGTATGGCTGGCGAAGTTTGGGGCTTCTGAACTTTATTCCAATGACACTTGTGGCACTGGAAAAGCTCCGGAACATTGTTGGGCGGCCTCTCGCACAATGCGGCCGCAGCCAAAGCAACCTGCTGCTTAGGGTTACTTCCCAAAATGGCGTTGCCCAGGTCCTTGGAAATATCATCTAGTTGATTATTGGAGGGGCGGTGTTCATAAAGCTGTTTCAATGGCCCAGGCCTCGTAACGGGCAGTGCTGGATATGGCCACCACTTTGGACTCACATCAACCCCACAAGTATCACATACTTTCGCGGGCGATTTGAGGTACGTGGGAGCCTCGAGTGCCTCAGCAGTGCTCGTAGTTTGCGTGTCTTCAGGTTTAATATTCGAAATAGAGCCTCTGCCGCTGCTGCTTATAACGGTTGTAGAAGCTCGGCGGTTGGATACCGTCGAGGAAGAAATGGGAACTGCAGATATCTTGGTTGATTGATTGACCAGCGTCGCTTTGCGTACAGTCCCTGTTAATGCTAGANNAGGGCAGTGGTCCTTGCACCAAACCGCAGCTGTCATGGCACCCGATTCGCCATTGATGTTCACAATGTTTACATGATCTCTGCGAGAGCCTTTGACAGGTGATATATCAAAGCCCAAGACATACCCTGCCTGATGGGAACACTCTACATGGACTATTGCTAGTTAGCACAGCGATAAAAAACTAGAGGAATTGCTTACCAGGAGCCCGGCACGACAGGCAAGCCACACAGGCCCCGTTATTAGTTTTACATATCTTACAAGTCTCGTCATACCTAGCGGAAGGAATTGAAGGGATCCCCTCAGAGCGTTCTAAGGCCTTGCCTTGGCCAAATTTGACTTCTGGTGTCCAAACTGCACAGGTAACATGGACCCAGTTGTTGTTTGCTGTTCTTTTCAAAGGTTCTCTTGGAATAATCGGACGGTTCATCTCCTCTTGCTTTTTCCTGTAAAACTCAGCCGCTTTGATTGCAAGTTCTCTCTCCACGCGGTCCTTTTCCCGGTCTTTGTCGTTCTTTTTCTTGTGCGAGGGTTTTATAGGCTCCAAAAAGTCCTGCGGTGTTGATTCGATAGGGCACAACATGCATTTATATTGCTTTAACTAGTTAGTAAATAGGCACAGCAGGAGGTCCGGTGGTGTAACTTACAATAGAAACTTGTGGATTTCGGTCATTTGAGCACATATCGCAGGTCCATTTGGCTGATCCCCGAGAGTCCGCGGCCACACCATAACAATTTCGGTGCACGGTCATTCGACACTCTCTACAGGAGAGACGTTGGCCTGCCGGCTCCATCTGCAAACAAATTGCGCAGGGAAGAGATTTTTGTTTAGGAATTTCCGGGACAGGCGGTGGAGCAGGTGGTTTTTCTGGCGCTTTCTTCTTCTGCTGGGCAAGCGCAGGCCCAGAGCCAGGATCGTGTGGTGCCGAATCAGTCTGGTCTCTTTCGCTATTGCTCTTTGGTTTTTTTCGCGGGGCCTCCTGGACTGCTGCTACCAGAGAAGCAGCCTGGGGCGCAGGAGTTCCATTTGAAGGAGTGTTGGCCGTATCTGTATTATTCGCCGTCCAACTGAGGTCGCTCAGATGGAATTCCCTCAATGGATCCTCTGCCTTCCGCTTATTAGACCGACCACCTTGGGAAGCTTTCTTGCCATGGTCATCTGTGTCTTCCCATTGCACCGCATACCTTCGCCATATCACCGCGCAGCTGAGGCAAAGGGCTACGGTCAATTGCGTATTGTTGTCCTTGCCAACTACTTTGTTTGTCGGGTCAGCTGCTACGGTGGTTCCAGCTGGTGTCCCAGGAGCGCGCTTCCATTGCCGAGAGTTGCGCGTCGAACAGAATTTACATTGAAAGCCTCGTTTCTTTTCCTTGGCCTTCTCGTTGTCGAAAGCTGAATCGTCTTGGTCATCAGCAACGTCATCTTGTAACTTGCCCGCGTTAACTTCAACCTTCTTAGCCTCCTTTTTCCCTTTTCGGCCCGCGTAATTGCCCCAAACCTGCTTTCCACGCTCGGTTTTCTTCCAGATGTAATAGAACCGAACTATATTCGCAGCGCTGACGGTTTTAACATGCTTTTTTACGCTATGCAGCTCGGAGCCAAATTTGGCTACGCCATCCTCAAACTTTTTAACCTCTGTCGGTGTCAGGTCGGGTTCTTTGAGATCCTTTCTTTCCACCTTAGCCAGTTCTTTCAACGCCCGATCAACATCGAAACTTGCAGAGTTAAGTATACTCAATGCTTTATCCAAGAAGTTCACCGAGTAGGCCCTGACGCCAATTTGCTTGGCAATATCTTCGCTGCTCTTGAGATACGCGTCAATCAATGCCTCATTGTCGCCGGTTTTTGCCACGTCTTCAGTTGCCTCGGGTTGGAAGAGTAACTCAGCCGTGCTATTCGAACTTCCTCTGGCATGGTCCTCTCCTCGATGGACGTACCCATGGGGTTCGTCCATGACCCATTTGGGCCGCGTTTCCCTCGCTAGTTTTTCTGCTTCGAGCGCGATGATAGTTTCCTTGGAAAGCTTCGCATCTTTCTTATGGCTTCCCCCCTTCATATACTTTCTTTTGACCTCAATTGGTTTAACAAGTTGTATGGGCCTGCCAGGCCAGGTCGGTACATTTGCCTGGTGTCGTGGCCCGAGGCGAGAGCTTGCACGGGGATAGATGCGATCGTCGTAATCCAATGCATCCTCGACCTTGCAATGCACCCCTAGATAACGGAAGGGCCATAAACTTGCTTGATAAATCTGTTCCTCAGTGCCAGGGTGAATCGGTACATCATCTTCCACTGATCCAACAGGACTGCTGCTGCCCGTGCTTCTTTCAGTGCCATGAAGTAATAAATCTTCATCTTCATCGTCCATCATTTCATCGTCTTCAGCATCGGCGCCTGTATCCGCAACATTGGGGGTATTCCTTGCCTCCAACTTTCGCTCTTGGGCGCGACTGCAAGGGCCACATGCCCAAGCAAACCCGCGCGATGGTTTCTTCAGCAATGGCGGCCGTACACAATTCATATGGTATGTCTGATGGCAGACTGCACAATCGACGGAATTGTTACTATGCATTATTAGTTATAGCAACCTGGTTTACCGGTCTTTAAAACATACCTTGCACAGAACCCATTACACCTCTTACACGACTTGACCGCACTGGTCAATTCTTTCCCCCTCCCAGATTCTACCAGTATAAACTTCCATCGATCATCAAGAACCGTCTTCACCTTGGCCGGGACATTTACTACCTGTCGTGTAGGTATTACCTCGTAATATCGGTGGATATATCGGTCGAAGAGTTTTTCGTACCAGAAACAATTCTGCGTCCTCCTGTACTCGTCCATATTCTCCACCTCTGTTTTGTGCTTTATTTGGCACAGTCCACGGAGGGCGGTCAGAGGGCTGATATCAGAGTGCATGGACGCGAATACCTGTCGCGTATCATTCACCTTTCGTCCGATATCCTTTGGTCGATAATACCAGTTCATTCTCACGGCATCAACAGGCTTCGTGGAGTCATTACTCATGTGGAGAAACTCCATGATTCGTCCGAGGTAATAGGGCTCTCCAGGAGGCTCGCATACCAGATAAACATGGTCTATTGTGAAATTAGCTACGCACTTAAAAAATGCCTAAGAACTTTGCATGATGAACTGTACAGCTACTTACCATTTATGCCCAACGTTGTGCCATCGTCAGCGATGAGCTTGCCATTTTGGAGGCGCGCCCCGCAATTATCGAAGCTCAGCATAAATGACTCTTTATATGCCTGGGAATTCTGCGGTAAAGTTCCTTTTCCCGTTGCCGTGGCCATGCCCATGTTTCCAGTGGTGTGATTGCCATTCGGAATACTCGATGTCGGGTTTGTAGTAGCTTTGCGCTTTTTGGAAGGTTGCGTCGGATTAGCCCCCGGAATGTTGGCTGAAAAGGTCGAGGTTCCTGGTATATGGTCTTTTGGCACCAGCTGCGCAGCGCTGTTCGGATCCGGCACTGTCCCAGTTGTTTTTCGACCGGTTGCTCCTGAAGCGGCAGATTCCAACACGTTTGGTCGAGCGTCCAAAGAACGAGCAGATTTCCGGGCATCATCTTCCTTTACAGGAGGCTGAATCTCAAACTCCATATCCATCTCTTTATCTTCTGCGTAGTTTGGTCGAGACACGCCCGCCCTGTTTCGGGATCGCGTGCCGTAAGGCGCGGCGGCTGAAGCCGCATCTTTCGGCGGCGGACTTGATGATGAAGCTGGAGGCGCAGTTATCTGCGGCGGAGGTGGATTTGTATGCGCCTTGGCTACTGTGTTAGAGGCGTCGGAGCTATCTAGAGGTATGGCAGCGCTGGACGGCGCACTTTCGATGGGTTCGGTGGATTGTTTTTGTGGTCTCCCAGAGCTATCGCTATCCGCGCCACCGACTGCTGCGGGGGGATGCGAAGGAGTCTCCATTCCGATTTGACTGTCGTCCGGGTTAGACACAGACATAGCTGCGTCCTTGTCGTCGCCGCTTGTCGTTGTGTGCAGTGTGGAGGCCGGTTGCCTCTCCCATCAAGAGTTGCACTTTAATCCCTTTTAGCGTCTCTGTGACTGTATAAAATTCGGCCCATCAGGTTTAAATATCAGTGTTGAGCGCGACTTTGGTGAAAGATGCTCCAAGAAGTGGTTGTGGCGTAGTAATTGAGCAAACTACGTTGTTCCCTTCCTCATCCAACATAAACAGCATAGGATATGGCGGCTGTAGCAATGGGGCCAGATGCAGAATCTATGTATCTTTTGGTGTCTGAATAGCTTCACGTATGAGCACAAATGGGCGAGTGGTGTTAAGATGTGGGCGCGAAGAGATTCGCGACTACAACAAAGGAACGGATGTCCGTGTGGAATGGAGTCAGACAAGGAAGGAGAGTGAAAGACAATGTAGTGAGTGTCTGAGGAACGAGACGAGACGAGACGATGCGGCCGGCGATGCCTCGCTAAACCAGGCTGGCTGGCTAAGATGGCTCCAAACCTTACCATCGGAGTGAGATGGCCTCTCATTGGGTGCAGCTTAGTATTTTTACTCCTGTATCAACATTCGTGTGTACAATAAACGATCGAATGATATAAATATCGGTAGAAATATTCGACAAAGTAAACTACAGACCTAATCTGAGAGGTTGCTGAGGGCACGCATACAATTTGTTATAGTAATAGTAATCTTATGGCCAGCCTTTATTTTTACTCGGGCAGTATGATAAGAGTGAGTGAGTGAGTGAGTTGAGTCTAGTTGTAAAATGTAATTCAACAGAGAATGATCCAAAGCCGGGATCCGAGAAACAAAGCCAGCCTATGCTTACGGGTAATCCATTGGGATCCGTGGCCGTTGTGAGCCAGAATTTCAGTTGTTTCGTCGTCGTCACACTGGGGGCAGGCTAGGCTGTAGTGGAGTTGTTGGTATTGCGGATTTGGCGAGGTATGC